TATATCTTCCAGATGCAGCTGCGCCGATGTTTTCCGCTTACAGACTATTTGGTTACCATTGCTGTGTTTCAGAGAGGGTGGGGGTCATTTGGAAGTAACTTGCCTATGATCTTCACTGTACAAATGATCTTCCTGGGCACTGCTGTTCTTTATATTTCTAAGGAAGCGTCAATAACCATGAATTTAGAAGAATTGCCAGCTGGAGGTAGCCAGACTGACATTTCCGTAAAAAGATTCAAGAGACACGCTATGCTTATATTAAATCTTGTATCTCTGTAGCTTAATCATGTTAAAACAGTAATGTTTCAGACAACCTCCAGGGGTGGCAGCTTGGCAGGGTAAAAGAATAGCCAACACAAAGACACGCCAGAGGAAGTGACTCTCAGATTCTGGGAACCTCTGTGAGATGTGCAGAGACAGGGTACAACTTCGATTTGCACATGTCCCCTTTGCTTTTTGAGAGGCCCTCCAGCAAGAGTGAGAAAAATAAAGCACCATTGAAAATAGGGCTTGGCAAATATTTGTGTGTATTTGGCAGCCACAGCAGCTGGTAGCTTGATGCCTTGATGGGCAGAGTGGTCCTGAAAGCTGGCTGGGGGCTGTGGGCACAGAGATGTTTTAGCTAGGCAGTTCTTGTGTTCATGAGCCACTGTGGTCATCTTAACCAGCTGCAGCTTCCTATAGACACTTTACGCAGCGAAACATTTCCAGTATGTTGATTTCCTTAGTTCAGTCTAAAAATATCTCAGAAATAAGTGCTGGAGGATGAATGAACTCCGACGCTATGGCTTTAAAGCAACCCTGGAAGGCAGCAATTTTAGGAGGCCACTATGTGGGCACTATGCCTTCCAGTGCCCCGTTCCTCTGGGTAGCGGTGAACAGTGGGCACGGCCTTTACTGTGACTGCTAACCCCACAGCATCAACTGTTTCCCACCATAACACATCTGTGTGCTGCCAGAAGGTGATAGCAGAACCATTTCAGCTTGGACGTCATCCTCATTCCTCACTACACAGCTGCCAAAAGCACCCAGGCATTCATTTTATAAGCTGTTCCGACCCTTCGGTGCAAAAATATTACCTTTTAGTATTCATTGCAAATTGGATTTTCCATCCAGTTTATGGATTTGATGCAGGCCTTCGTTAAGCAAATAAAAATAAATAAATGAGTGGCAGAAGTCACTTAGTTGGTTAGAGGACGGTGCTAATAAGTCTAGGGACAAATCATCCTAAGACTGATTCCTGGTGGCAGCACATAGGTGCCCATGCCATCAGGTACTGAGTGTGCTGGATAATTTTATATCAACTGGATACAATCTAGAGTCATTTTGAGGGAAATGCCATTGAGAATGTTCTTCCACCAGACTGTCCTGTGAGCAAGCCTGCAGTACATTTTCTTAATTAATAATTGATGTGAGAGGGCCCAGCCCACAGTGTGTGGTGCCACCCCTGGACAGGTGTTCCTGGAGCAGCGGTATGAGAAAGCAAGGTGAGCGATCCATGAGGACCAGGCCAGTAAGCAGCACTCCTTCACGGCTTCTGCTTCAATCCCCTTCTCCAGCTTCCTTCCTTGAGTTTCTGCCCTGAATTCCCTCAGCAGTGGAGTCTGACAATTGAGTCATATGTAAAAAGTAAATCCTTTCCTCCCAAGTTGCCTTTAGTCATGGTCATCACAGCTATAGAAACCTAAGACACAGAGTTAAGACGCCATTATCACACACTGAGTGTCACTATATAGGAAGGCTTGAGAGAAACCAGCTGCTTCTCAGAGGCGTACCCAACCTCAGTCTCTGCCAGAACTGACCAAACATTCTACCTGAACGAACTATTTATTGGGCAGATTTCCCTTTAGAAGGGAAATGATTCAAAAACTCCTAGGGTCCATGAAGAAGGATTTTTTTTTCCTTCTGGGAATTCAAGTAAGTATTCTTCATGCTCTTTGACTCTGTCATCTAATTCTTCTGCACAGAAAACTGTGCTTCACAAAAAATATAGTCAATTCCAGTAGTCAGTATAGTTGCTGTGGGTATGATCTATCATCTATCTTGATTAAATGTCTACCTATCTGTCTGTCCTGCATCCATCCATCCCTATCCTGAAAACATTCAAATGAGATTTCTTGGGGAAAATGCTTCCATTATAGTTTAGATCTTGAACATCCCCCACAGGCCTGTTTCTTAATGGCTTCATGAAACCTAGGCTGGTTTCATGCACAGGTGGTTGAACCATTAAGAAGTAGATCTTCATTGGAAGTCTTTAGGTTATTGGAGATATACCCTAGAAGAGGATTTCGGGCCCCTCGTGACCCTTTTCATATCACTTCCTGGATTTGAGATGAATGTCTTTGCTCACCTGCCCGAGTTCTTACCACAGAGTCCTCCTGTCTTGCTACTGGCCCAGAGGAATGGACAACCTGGTCATTAACACCTGTAAATCTGTGGGCCAAAATACTTTTCTCTTTATACTTTATATCAGAATTCTCCCTGGGATGATGGAAAGCTGTCTGCCACTATTCCATTTAAAAATTTTCTCAATAGTTTTGCAGGTATCCCATGCTCTGACCTGATCTGCCCTAATATAATGATAACCAGCAGAAGCCCTCAAATGACACCAGCTCAAATTCCAACTCCACTATTGCTGTCTATAAGCATGTTTTTAATGTGTTTAACAAATACATCTTTGTACACTTCTCTACTTAGTAAGAACAAGAGTCTAACTGTTGCAGGGATTAAGCATGCTCGTACACGCCGTATGCTTAGAATAATGCTCAGTAAACCTGTTATACTTACTATGCTCCAGCAATTCTATCACATACACTGTCAGGGCTGAAACCATAAGTGATCTACAACACAAGAGTAACAATAGCCATGTCTTATTGGTGATTAGGATGAAGCTCAGTCATGTGCGTGTTTTCAGAATTCATCTGCTTCAAACCCAAGACTTGAATCCCAGTCTTTGAGTATTAAACATTGGATTGCTTCCAATTGTACTGAATTATTCACATTGATTGCTTACATTGGTCCATAGGAAGCACAGCCGCTGTGAAATGTGGACATTAGGGAAATTCAGAAAAGAGGAAATAGTTGAGAATATTCTATCGACTCAGAAGAAAGTAAATGGTTAGTTGCTACAAGGATTGGTTGAAGCAGTGGTCCCTGACTTGGGTGATTTAGTATTTTGAATATCCCAAATTCTAAATGAGAAAAAACAGAAGACAGGGTGGAGGGAAGGGGGAATGGAGAAGAGGGGAGGAACACTCATAAATAATTTGAAATTCTTTTGAATTAATTAAATTAACATACTAAGTAAGAGGCTTTGTTACAGCTTTCTTAGCTAGCCTCATTCCTCACTTTGTTCTCTTTCATGCCTGTCCCCTGCTGCCTACCTGTGTCCCTTGTGCCAGCCATTGCTGGTCCCTTTCCTCTACCCACATAGTTCCCCCATTCCATTTAGTATAAATGGGTTTTTTTGTCTTAGAATTTTACCTTTTTCTGAAAACAGGTAAATGCTCATCTTGGAAAAAAAATCAGCTCAGAAAAATCCAGAACTGCAGGATGTTTGTACAACTTGCAATGGGCTGAAATGTCTAAATGTGCTGTTTATCTCTTTGCTGCCACCGTAACTCACAATCCCGTGGTGGACTTGCTGGCTGCTGATACACAGATGACATTCAGGGTTCTTAGATCTGTAAGATGGAGACTATGACCCCACAAATCCTTACCTACATGCAAGCCTTATGAGACAAGCAGAAGACGGTCAATACTCACAGACAGCTGGCACACCCCTTTGTTCCTAATGAATGTTAATAAGTTAGGACATTTAAATGGATCCCTGGGGCAGTGAGACTTCATGACTGACATGTTTTATAGTATCAGCATCTATTCTCATTCATATGTAAGTTTAGTTGTGTTAGCATTTAGGAGCTTTCATGAGAGTTCTACTTGATACAACAAATCTCATTATGAATCTAGCTTAGATTTTAAGATGAGCTAAATCATGCGAATCCTTCAAATTGCCTTCAAATGATAAAAAGCTCTTCAAAAGAGCCACATTAAAAACGACATTTCAGGGAGGGTTTCTGGAGAAGTGAGATGGTTTACAGGGAAGAAGCCTCTGGAAAGTTGACCACGCTTCAGTGGGTGATCCCACACTCTTAAATACATAAGCAGCACAAATTGAATTCAGTGAGTTTCTAAACAAAATAAATAAAGCACAGGAAGTTGGAAGGGGATGAGGAAGTGGAGGTGGAACTGGGAGACGTTAAAGGAAGTAGTAGAAGATAAATATGATCAAAACATATTGCATGAAACTGTTAAATACTAATAAAATATATTGCAAAAACATACATTTCAAGCAAAGGCAATAATGTTGAAAATGATTCTTGTAAACTAAAAGGACAATTAGTCCCCAAGTGAGTAGCAAGCACATCATGCATATAGGCAGTGTGGGGTCTTCCTACAGTTCCCCATCTGTGTCCTGACAAATCTTACAGTAGCCCAGCTGGAAGAATGCCATTCCTTAGGTAGAGTTTTTTTAAAAAATCTCTACAATTCAATTTAAGCTGACTAATGAACATTCCTCAGACATAGAATCATAAATTGTGACTTAGCTCAACAAATGATTTCTATTTTCCCCCATCAGCCTCAGTTTCTGTCAGCCTCTTAGTCAGCTTCAAGGCTCTTACAGGCCTTAAAGGACATAGGTCAAATTTGAAAATAGAAGACAGAACAGCACTATTATGCTAAGCAAATAACTACTGAAGTAATAAAAATAATGATTTACACTTCATCCCCCCTCTCTGCCTTTTCTCTTTATTATGATGGTTAATCCTGTCTGGTACCAACATTCAACTAGCCTCAGATCAACAAGTGTTTGTTGATGACTAGATGACCCAGTCCCTTCTACAACCAACAAAACGTGCTTAAGGTCCACACTGTGTGCTTCCACTCCCAATTTCCTGGCTCTTGCCCATAGAATCAGAATCTTCACGCTCTGCTCTTACCTGCTTCCCATCCAGGGTGTACAGGCGCTTCACCACACCCGAGTCCAGCTTGATAGCATCGGTAATGTCAGTGAGAACCTGCTCAAAGGAATGAGCTGTCTTCTTGTTCAGCAGGATTCTGACAGCCTTCCGTGGCTTCACCCCACTTCGGATGATGGTGACCAGCTTGGGTCGAATGAAATCCTTATTCTCCCGAACCTCTGAAGGCCCTCCCTTGGCCGTAGCCAGAGAAGACACTGCCCGGGAGGCTGAGGTGGTCTTGACATTCACTGACCAGTTGGGGTTCACATTCTTGGTGTACTCCAGCTTCTTAAAGGGCTCAATGGAGCCGCAGACATAGCTTTCACCTGAGAAAGAGAGAGAACTTCAAATTTACACCCACGAGAACCCGTTTCCTTCCCCCACATTCAGTCTTTCATTTCTCATTTTCTAAGTAAAGTCAAGAATTGCTCATGACCTTCAAATCAATGGATGAATGATTGAGAATGAACCAAAAACAAAACCCACTATTTCTCACATCTAATATCTTTTATTTTATACAGACTGGCATCTTGGGAGGGAAAAAAAGCAAAAACAAAAAACATTTCTCTCCCTTAGGCTGCTGATAGAAACACAGACAGATACGAATCAGCTTCTGAAAGAAGAAGAACTAGAATTCAAAATTGAGATTATCTTTGGATATTTAAGGGCATTTAAATCTTCAGCAAACTTCAAATTTAGAAGCACGTTCATTAGAAGCACTGAGATAATTTGAAAACTAAAAATGAGTCAGTACACAGCTCTACACACATACATAAAAGCACATACTTATGCACACATACATACAAATGCATATGCAGACACATATATGATGCTGTGACAGGGTTATTTTTCAAGGTTTCTTGAAAGATCATGAACTTATTAGTGGGAATAGCTATGTGGAAATTCATGCTGAAGACCGCTATGTAAGCTTGGGACCTTGGGCCAGTCCCTTAGATTTCAGGGTAATGGTTTACTCAATGAAACTTCACTGAGTTTCTGTGGAAGTCAAATTAGAAAATCTGGAACTGCAGCTTGGTGAGAGAGTATGTTCCTAGCATGTACACAGCACATAGGCCTGAGTTTGTTCTAGTACCTCCCCAATAGACAGTGGAGATGAAAGTATCACAAATGTACAGTTGTTCTACAAGTGGCCAGAGGCAGCTTTACTCATCAGTAAGCTTGAAAAGACAATTTAAAACAGTAAGTCAGCCATACAGCAGACAAGCCATCTGATTCGTGCTATCTCACCTGCAGTCCTCACCATAGCCCATGAGCCCAATGCTAGCATGCCTCTCTCTGAAGGGCATGCTGAGGCATAATGACCTAGGGTAGCTTGCTCAAGATCACATGACTAATAAGGATAAAACCAAGATTCAAACAATGATTGGTCTGACTCTAGAGTGTGTGCTCTTACCCATGATTCCATGTGTCTACATGTGCCCTGAGGTAGACACCTGTTTGAGTCTGAGATCGAAGAGAAGCTACTCTTGTTAGATTTTCGTTTGTTTGTTTGTCACCCTAACACAAACTAGAATTGTTTGCGAAGAAGGACCTTGGTTGAGAAAATGTCTCCATCAGGTTGGCCTATAAGCAAGTCTGTAGAGGGATTTTCTGATTGATGATTGCTTTGTGAGGGTGCAGCCCACTGTGGGTGGTGTCACCTCTGGGCAGGTGTTCCTGGGTTATAGTGGAAAGAGAACTGAACAAGCCACAGGAACAAGCTAGTAAGCAGGATTCCTCCACGGCCTCTACTTCAGTTCCTGCCTTCAGGTTCCTTCCCTGAGTTCTTGCCCTGACTTCCCTACATGATGGACTACAAGATGTAAGCTGAAATAAATCCTTCCCTCCCCAGTTTGCTTTTTTATCATGGTGTTTATAACAGAAAAGCAATCCGGGACAGAAAAAAAATAGGAATTGCAGTTAAGTTGGAGTAAGATGAGGCAGCTTTGCTTTTATTCCCCATTGTTCAAATTTTTCTCCAATGTTTACTATAGAAATATGTATTTCTCTTTCAGTCCCAAGTACAGGTGAAATTATTACTCCACAGTATGGAAGTCTTGGAACTTTTTGTGAGGCAAAAGAAAGGAGAAAAAAATGAAAAAATGCCCCAAACATAACTAACAAGGTTTGGTGTCATCTTGGCTTCAAAAGATAAGAGGGCAAGCAGACACAGATGATATTAAATTAAATGCATCTTTTTCCATTCGAGCTTCTATGTCAGAGTGCCATGGGCCAGGTGGTTTATAAATGCCAAGCATTTTTTCTTGGGGTTTTAGAAAGTGAGCAGTCCCAGACTTAAACTCTGCTAAACTTGGGAGGCCCCTTCCTTGCAGATGGCACCATCCTGCTGTGTCTTCATGGGAGAGATTGGGTAAGATACTTCTCCTAGGCCTCTTTCACCCAGCACCTGCTCCTACTTGTGAGTCCATCCTCATGATCCAGTCACCAAACTTTCTGTCTTTTAACACAATCCTGTCAGTGGTTAAGTTTCAACGTAGGACTTTTGAGAATTCACAAATATTAGTAAGCTAGCAGGTGGTGACACCGCTCAGTAAAATCATTAATAGAAGAAGAGAAACAAATTCTAGACAGTGGCAGAGAGGATTTCACACTTGCCCTTGTAAGTTTGAAGAGACTTAGTGTCCATTTCAGCTGAGTATACCCAGGCAGTTAAGAGTGCAAAGGAGAGGACTGAAATAAAGAGACAGGTCATTATTTAATAGTGGCCTTAAAATAATGGGAGCTAGTAAGAAAATGATCCAGAGACAGGAAAATGAAGGGAGGGCAGCATATCTAAAGTGTGGCAGGCAAAATAGCAATTCATACATATGACATCACAGCAGTAATTACTACAGATCTATTGATAAATACCCAGATGCATAGCAGAAGCTCCAGGAGAGACATTACGTCTACAAGGACTCAAGATCCTTCTACAAGACTCACTCATGGCCAAAAAGAAAACAGTAACTTTGAAATTCACCTTAATTCTGTAGGGTAAAGGACACTGTCAATAGGACAAAACGTCAACCAGCAGATTGGGAAAAGATCTTTACCAACCCTATATCAGATAGAGGGCTAATATCCAGTATATACAAAGAACTCAAGAAGTTAGATTCCAGAGAATCAAATAACCCTATTAAAAATGGGGTACAGAGCTAAACAAAGAATTCTCAACTGAGAGATACCAAATGGCCGAGTGAAGGAAAGGGGACCAATGATGGAAGGAAACCAATGATGGAAGGGGATGTCTCAGGGGGTCCATGTCGAGGCATCTCTTCCCCCCTGAGGGACCAGCCACACGCAGAGCATGGGGAGGGAAGCCAGGAGGGTAAAAGAGGCAGAGAAGAGAAGAGGAGAGGAGGGGAGGGGGGGGGGGGGGAGGGGGC